TTATTCTTTTTTTTTTTTTGCGTAATGGAGAATTTCAAACAAATACAAAAGCGGACAGAAGAGTAAATGAGCCGCCATGCACCCATTGCACAGCTCAGACTATGGCGAATCTCATTACTCTATACTCCTCGCCACCCTTCCTTGTATACTCTTCCGAACCAAATCCTAGACAGCATATCATTTCATCCATCAGTAACTTAGTACATGTCTCTTCAAGATGAAGAGAACAGAAAACATAAAACAACCGTTGATGACATTATCACACCAAAAATAATTAACAGTACTTTCTTAATGTCATCGAATATCCAGTATGTGTTCAAAGTTCTAATTGTCTCCTGAATAATTTTTTGACATTATGTTGATTTGAATCAGGATCCCAACAAGGCTGCACATTGCAGTTGGTTGACATGTTTTAAGTTTCCTTTAACATACAGGGACCTCCCTCCATCTTTCAGTTTCCCCCACATGGAACATATTTGTTGAAAGACCTGGGCTGTATGTCCTATAGAGTTTCCCAGAGTCTATGTTTTGCACTATGATCCCTGTGTGTAGTGTATCAAATAGACTGTTCCTCCGTCCTCTGCATTTCCATAGTTGGTAGTTAGATCTAGAGGCTTGATGAGATCCAGCTTTGAGATTTTTATGCAAAATTACTTTTTAGGTTGTGTGTGCTTTTCCATCAGGAGATACCTAATGCCTGGTTGACTCTTTGTTTGCAATGTTCGCAGCCATTTTTTGGTTGATGTTTAGCTCCATTAATTCATTAGTGTTGTTTGTTCTGCATACAATCTCTTAAAATAAAAATAGATACATCCTTAGCATGATATAAAAGCATATTTCAATCCCAAAGACAGTATTATACCTAAAAATGCAGAAGCACTTGAATCATTGACATTAAAGAAAGGACTAAGACAAGAATATACAGTTTCACAAATATCGTGTAACACGGTTCTAGATATCAGTCAATATAACACACTAGAAGAAATGAGATGTATAAAAATTTAAAAGGAGAAGGTAAACTATCATCATTCTAGCAAATTCTAGCAGATTTTCTTGGGTTTTCCAGGAAATTACAAACAATAACATATTTTAGCAAGTTGGCTGGAACCAAAATTTACACCCTGTAGTCATTAGCTTTTATGTAGACAAATGAAATCTAGTTAGTTTAAGACATAATGAAATAAATATTCTATATACTATAGAAAAATCATAAAAGGCCTCCTAATAGTAAACTTAATCAGAGATGTGAAGGTATCTATATAAGAATACATCAAATGCCATGGAAGTAATCCAAATAGGACTTAGTCAAGAACAAACAACAATAATAAACTAAAACCAAAACCAAAACCAACCAACCAACCAACCAATTAACCAACCAACCAGACAAATAAGCCAAAACCCCCAGAACAACAAGAAAAACCCCACATACCATGTTACTGTATAACACTCCATATCATTAATAGGTCGATTTTCTATAGGTTAAAGATTTCTACATAATTTTTTTGGATGTAGACAGTTAATGCCAAAGCTCTTATGGAAAGATAAATAAGCAAGCAGAGACAGGAAACCTCTAGAAAAAAAGGAATAATAGGAAAGGGGACTATCTCTGCCAGATATTAGGCACATATTAATGTATTATAATTAACACTGAGTTTCCGATGTGGAGAGAAAGCTCAATGGAACAGCCTATAAAGTTCCAGAACATTCAAATACCCATTAGAATTTTGTATACATACTAAAAATATGACCAATGCAAAAAGACTAAAAGAAAATGGAAACAGTTCATCCTCAGTATCTGGGGGATTGGGTCCAGGACCTCCACAGATACCAAAATCTGCAGATACTCAAATCCCTGATAAAAAATGGTGTGATGTGTACATATAGCTTATGCACATCTTCCTGTATACTTTAACTCATCTCTGGGTTACTTAGGATAGCTAATACAATGTCAATGCTATGTAAATAGTTGTTATACTATATCATTTTTACTCGTATCTTTTTTTATTGTTGTGTTGTTTTTTATTGTTTCTTTTCCAAATATTTTCCATCTGTGGTTGGTTCAATCTGCAGATGTGGAACCCATGGAGGGATGACTAGATGTAAAAGAAAAAACCTTCCACAAGACAGAAAACAAACAAAACAGTAAAGTCCCCCAAATACCTAAGGGTCAAAAGGGAAAGAAATGCTTCAACTTGGACTGCACAGGGGTCTAATGCTCTTGATGTGTAGAGTTCTTACAAATTAGTAAGGAAAGAGCCCAGTAGAAACATGGGCTCTTTCTCTAAAGCCTAACAAAAGATGCTCAACCTCATACTATTAGAAATACAACTTGGCCAAGTGCAATGACTCACACCTGTAATTCCAGCACTTTGGGAGGCTGAGGTTGCAGTGAGCTGAGATCGCACCACTGCAGTCCATCCTGGTGACAGAGTGAGACTCTGTCTCAAAAAAAAGAAAGACATGCAACTCAAAACTTCAATGAGAATTTTTTTTCATTTATCAGATTAACAAAGATTAAATAGGTGATAAAATATCATAAGTAGCTGGGTGCGGTTGCTCACACCTGAAATCCCAGCACTTTTTGGGAGGTCTAGGAGGGTGGATCATGAGGTCAGGAGTTCAAGACCGGTCTGGCCAATGTGGTGAAATCCGATCTCTACTAAAAATACAAAAATTAGCTGGGTGTGATGGTGGAGTCCTGTAATCCCAGCTGCTTGAGAGGCTGAGGTAGAGAATTGCTTGAACCTGTGAGGCAGAGGTTGCAGTGAGCCGAGATTGGGCGACAGAGCAACAGCCTGGGCAACAAGAGTGAAACTCCATCTCAAAAAAAAAAAAAAAAAAAAAAAAGGTGCTAATTC